GCCCCGGGGCCGGCGGAAGATCACCCAGCGGCACCCAGCGGCACCCAGCGGCCCTCCCAGCGCCCCCCCCTGGACGATGCGCCATGTCTGCGGATCCCCCCGGCGCCCCGCCTGGCGCCGGCCAGCGTGGAGGTCCGGGCCGCCCCCCTTCCGAGCTGCGGGGCATGACGGGGTCCCCTGGCGGCCCCCCCCGGCCGCTAGATCCCCCGGGCGCCCGGCGGCGACCGTCCAGGCCGACCGACCCGGCCCCCGCCCCCCGCTCGGCCTCAGCCGCGCAGCGGGAAAAATCTGGGGGGCGCTGGGTGGCCCCCCGGGGCGCTGGGTGGGCCTGGGGGGGGCGCTGGGTGGGTGCTGGGTGGGTGCTGGGTGGGCTGTGGCCGCCAGGTCCGGTCAGAGGGCGGCGGGGTGGTCGGCGGGGGGTCGAGGGTGAGCCAGAGCGCGTCCGGTCGGGAGGGCCCGCCACGCGAGGGCCCGAGGGGCGGTCCACCCTCTCCCACCGGCACGGGCAGCGACCATGGCGGGGCGGGACCGTCTCCTGTGCCGTAGCGAGGGTGGGCGGCGTGCCCACGGAGCCGGACCGTCGGCGGAAGACCCAGGGAGGGGCCGCGCTGCTGACCTCTGTCACGGACGAAGGGAGCGTGATGTGGATACGTAGTAGGACGCTCTACATAAGAGAGCGCAGAGATGCTGTTCCTGAAGTAGAAGGAGCAGCGGGACCATGCCGCGGCGGCGGGGGTGCGCCGGCGGCGACGACCGCCCCCATGTCTGGCGGCATCACGCCCCCGGTGCGGCGGCGGCGGCGGCGGCGGCGGCGAGGACCCACCCCCCAGCGGTGGCGGCCCCGTGACCCCGGCGACCCGGATTGCATGGCCCCCTCGCGAGGCACCACGGCCCACTTGTCGCGCGGCCGCACCAGAACCCGGCCGGCTGCAGACCTCTTTTGTACGCGCGGCCGCTGCATGGCCAAAAACGAGACAAACGCCTTTGGAGAGTATATGAGAGGGGGAAGCGGAAAAAGGCTGACGGTGAAATTGAATAAAGATCACCCGAGGCCTGGTTCGCAGCTTTGGGTGGCAGGCGCCGGTGATGGTCCCGATTCAGTTCGAACCCTCGCTGGCGTACCGCCCCAGCCGGTAATGGTCCCGATTCAGTTCGAACCGTCTGGCTGGTGAAGGCCGCAGCAATGGGGGGGAAGCCGTGCGCTCCGAGAGCAATGGGGTGACCGTGGCAAGGGTGGGTTGATCTAGGCGCGCTCGCGCGTCTACAATAGGTCTCCGCCGGCGCTTGACTGTCTAACCGGAGCATGAGGGCCGCGCGGCAGAACCGCCGGAGTTGAGGCTGATGGCGGGCGAGCCCGTCCACTCTCCATCGTCCATGTCCGCACCGCCGTTTGTTGGGCCCCGGGTGACTAGATACTGCCATTGCGCTGTCACGCCCTGGGTTGACGACGGCACCTGCCCCGGGAAATAGGTGGCTGGTTCTATCGGCTGTCGCCTTTCAGTAGGCTGACCCGTTAGCGAGGCCGCCCAGGGGGCACCTGAAGCCCGGCCGGTTGAGCAATCAACCCGGCTGGCGCCGACGGAGTCTGTGGGTAGTTGGCCGATGGCTATCACTATCCTTGACGCAATCGGGGGCACGCCCGTAGGCTGGTAGCCGTTCCCTCACGGGGACGTGACCGGTAACGGGTAACCTCCTCTTGAGGTGGGCATGTCAAAGTCCGGCGGGCCTCTCACGGGGCCGCCGCTGCGTCTTTGTACGGACCTCGCCTTGGGGAATTCAGTTGGGGCAATTGGATGGCCGACGCGGGTGATGCGGGCTCACGCCCAAGTCTAACGCCCGGCCGGGGCCGCCTCCCGAGGCGCAACCCCCCTCCGTCTAACTACTCTAGCCGCTTCGGTGCGGCGAGCGATGACCGATGCCCCCTCACGAGGGGTTGACGTCTGACCGTCCAAGATAGTTACCTGGTTGATTCTGCCAGTAGTCATATGCTTGTCTCAAAGATTAAGCCATGCATGTCTAAGTACAAGCAACTATACGGTGAAACTGCGAATGGCTCATTAAATCAGTTATCGTTTATTTGATAGTACCTTACTACATGGATACCTGTGGTAATTCTAGAGCTAATACATGCTAAAAACCCCGACTTCGGAAGGGGTGTATTTATTAGATAAAAAACCAATGCCCTCCGGGGCTCCTTGGTGAATCATAATAACTTAACGAATCGCATGGCCTTGCGCCGGCGATGGTTCATTCAAATTTCTGCCCTATCAACTTTCGATGGTAGGATAGTGGCCTACCATGGTGGCAACGGGTAACGGGGAATTAGGGTTCTATTCCGGAGAGGGAGCCTGAGAAACGGCTACCACATCCAAGGAAGGCAGCAGGCGCGCAAATTACCCAATCCCGATACGGGGAGGTAGTGACAATAAATACTGATACAGGGCTCTTTTGGGTCTTGTAATTGGAATGAGTACAATTTAAATCCCTTAACGAGGAACAA